TTTAAATAAATTTAATTTATTTAATAATTAATTTTTAAAAAAATTTATAATAACATCGAGCCCTTTAAATCAAGTAACAATAACCACTTCATGATGCACTCCTTCCCCTCCCTAAGCTGAGGTTCGACTCAGTCTATTCTCAAACCTGTTCAAAAAAAAATTTATAATTATATATATGAATTAATTTAATAATACAACATACATTACATCATTAATTTCAAAATTTTATTGAAAAGTTGAGCAGTACTATGGGCACTCGCCTCTTGCACGCTCAGCCCAACACTTCCCCTTTCATTGGGCCACGTAAGCTTATTTCAGGCTTTAAATGGCAACTTCTCACCGATCAGAATAACGTGGCCCAATAAAAGTGAAAGTGTTGGCCGGAGAGTGCAGAAGGCGAGTGCCCCTAGAACTCCTCTTGAAAGTTTTGTCATTCTTACCATTACTTTCAAAAAAAAAAAAGAAAAAAAAAAGAAGTTCCGAGGCAGCTGGCAACCATTAATACAAAAGAACCCAGGCAGCTGGCAGCCGTAGTAAGTGGGGCTGTCGGTTCAGACTTTCTTTTCCTTTGGTACTAAATGCATCGCAATTAGTGTGCCAAAAAATTAAATGACTGACGTTACACAATGTACTAAGAAAAATGCAAATGACATGTCGGTACTCGACAAAATTGCCCCCTAAACGCAAAACGAGTTCTTTCCTTGGACAGCTGGCAAAAGCAGTTTCCAAACTGTTTTTCTAACCACTCATTTTTTATCCTCTCTCATGCTTTCTTATTTCTTCAATGCCTTCAGACAACACGTTTTGACTCTATTATCTTCGTCTCACATGCACCTGGAATAATGTAATTTATTTATATAGTGTGAAAATCTGTATTTGGTTTTAAGGTAAGAATTGTATTTAATTTAAAATTAATTAATAATAAATAAAATAATTTTTTATATTTACTTTGGTATAAATTTCGAGCTTTGTAAGTAGGTTTTTTTTTTTTTGTTTCCCGTTTGGTATCAGGGCTTCACTCTGATTAATCAAGATCTGACCCGTGTCACGCATCTAAAAATGATGGGTGAGTCTTCCAACAAAGATTGTTGCGTACATAAGGTCTCGAGTTCGAGACCTTACTTAAATTGGAACAACTCACTTACCACTTAATCCAACCCTCGTTTGGTTGCTTTGTCAGTAAGTTGATGGTAAACTTTTCAATATCGAAATAGGTTGAAATCATATATAAATTTGTATGTAAGTTTTAATATAAAAATTATATCTAATTTAAAATTAATTAATAATAAATAAAATAATTTTTTATATTTAACTCTTGTTTTTTATTATACATTTAATGGAAAAAATTTTCACTCAATATATAATATTATATAATATTTTCATTTTTTATAAAAAAATATTATATAATGTAAAATAAGTTAAATGTAAATTTAATTTATTAATTTAAGGGTTTACTCAATTCGGCTTATCAACTATTTTGAGTATTTTTTTGATTTATTAATTTTAAAAAATATACTTTTTTTTATCTTTTCATCAATTAATATATTAAATCTGTTGCATTTGCAGCTTTAGCCGCGATGGAAGTGCACCAACACCCTTGGCTTTTTTGTCAAGGGTTTAAGCTACCAATGCAGTAATATTGTAACTATTCTCTCATCTCTCCAATTTCCCACTGGTCAAAAGAAAATATATTAAATCTGCTTATATATGTAGTTATGTATATTTTTAGTTTATAAACCTATATATAAGTTTAGAAATTAAAAATATATATATTTAGATAAATTTAATAGACTAATTAATTTATAAAAAGATAAACAAATATATATATTTTTTAAAATAAGGGAAAAAAATCAAAAGAAATTGAGCAATAAAAATCATGCAAAACTTTAAAATTAACATTTAATCTTAAAATAATAGAAATATTACATATATTATTAAGAAATACTTAATATATATAACAATAAGATGTCCATATTTAGAGAGGGAAGTCATCCCCAATCAAGTGAGAAGGAACTAATACTTGTATATAGCTTGGCGTGCAATGTTGTTTACCAGATCTAGTGTTGATGTTCACTATGGATCTAAGAAATTGTCACATTAGCTTCAAAATGAAAATAACTATCTAATTTACATCATCACATATAATTCATCCTTAATACAAGAATTTTTTTCGAACTGAAGCTAAATTATCCTTAATACAATAATTGAACATGACATGAAAATATCCTTAATACAATAATTAATTTGCTGAAATTCAAAATTTTAAATGTTTGTATGTCACTTTTTTCAGCAGTAACCTGAAAAAATAAAAACAATCTAGGGGCTTGGTTTTGTCAACATTAAAAGTTCCTAGATTGCCGAGATGCGCTTATGGTACTCAAAACGTGTGCTTTCTTAACCTTCACGCCAAAACGGCCCCACGGGTACGGCAGTTCAATAAAAGTAAATGAGGAATGCTAGCTGCACTCGCCTTTCTCCAGCACTCTCCAACACTCTCTCATGTAAAATGTCCACGTAACAAACTTTGGCTCGCAATTTAAAGTTTCCATCTAAAAAGTTCACGTGGCTATTTTAGATGAGGGAGTGTTGGAGAGTGCTGGAAAAAGGCGAGTGCAGCTAGCATTCCTCAAAGTAAATTCATGGGGGCGCCAAAAGGGTCGCTATCAATGCAAGTAATTAAGTAAAGAATTGCCCAAGGTCGCTTTAAAGGATCACTACAAAATCATAATTACCCTATTACCCTCAAAAAATCTGGAAATTTCTTTTCCTCGAATGAAGCCAAAGCGACATGCTATTTACCACTTACAAGCCGAACTCGAAATCAATTCTGGCCTATT